ATGTAATGCAATGTAATGCAATGCAATGCAATGCAATGTAATGTAATGTAATGTAATGTAATGTAATGTAATGTATGCATGCATGTAAGTCACTAAGTAGGTAAGCTTGCATGTATGTATGTATGTATGCATGCATGTATGTATGTATGTATGTATGTATGTATGTAGTATGTATATATATATATGTATGTATGCATGTATGTACGTATGTTATGTATGTATGTATGTATGTATGTATGTATGTATGTATGTATGTGTGTATGTATGTATTAATGTAATTTAAGTATGTATGTACGTATGTATGTATGTATGTATTAATGTAATGTAAGAATGTATGTATGCATGTATGTATGCATGTGATGCATGTAATGTATGTAACGTATGTAATGTAAATAATGTAATGTATGTAATGCTTGCAATGTATGTAATGTATGTAATGTACGTAATGTATGTAATGTATGCAATGTATTTAACGTATGTAATGTATGTAATGTATGTAATATATGTAATGTATGTATGTAATGCAATGTAATGCAATGTAATGCAATGTAATGCAATGTAATGCAATGTAATGCAATGTAATGCAATGTAATGCAATGCAATGCGATGCAATGCAATGCAATGCAATGCAATGCAATGTAATGTAATGTAATGTCATGTAATGTGTAATTAATGTGTAATGTGTAATGTGTAATGTGTAATGTGTAATGTGTAATGTGTAATGTGTAATGTGTAATGTGTAATGTGTAATGTGTAATGTAATGTAATGTAGTATAATATGTAATGTAATGTAATGTAATGTAATGTAATGTAATGTAATGTAATGTAATGTAATGTAATGTAATGTAATGTAATGTATGCATGTAAGTCAGTAAGTAGGTAAGCTTGCATGTATGCATGTATGTATGTATGCATGTATGTATGTATGTATGTATGTATGTATGCAGTATGTATATATATATATATATGTGTGTGTGTGTGCATGCGACAGCTGAGAGCTTCAAGAGCTCATCCCGCCAACACGGATCTGATGAGGGTGTGTGGTATTGGAGGTTGACGTGAATTTTGATGGCGGCTGGCAGATTTTTACTTTTTGCTAGCCGTGTGCGAGAAGGGCACATAACTCGTGTGAGGGCGGGGTCATCAGTTCCCCATCAACAGTGGAGTGTGTCTTGCAAAGCAGCCTGTGCTGCAGCGCCGTGTGATAAAGTCACGGAAATCCAACGGAAGAATCAGCAGATTCGAGCAGTTCTGAAGAAACTGCCCTGGCCTGAGCTATTGTGCTTCGAGGCGAACGGCTGCGTGCATGATTTGCCACTGCGCACACGGAGGCGGATACCTGCTGCGGTGCTCGACGCAGCCAATGATTCCAGGTTGCGTTTTTTGGCCGGCTTCTTTGATGGTGATGGTAATGTTTCCTGCCAATCTAATTTGTCCGGGTGCTACTTGCAGGTTTCACAGTCCTTCAACCAGGCCGAAATTCTCATGCTCCTTCGTGAAACCTTCGGGGGAAGCATCGGGCTGCACAGCCACGGTGTGGGACTTCAGAAACCTGCTCTTCGATGGGCAATATACGGCCAGTCGGCTCGACAGACCGCCTGCCTCCTGGCGCCACACAGCATCACCAAGCAAAAGCAGCTGTTGCTGGCGGGACAATGGCCCGATGCGAAGTTCGGGAGAGAGGACAGCAAAGCCAAGCTGCGCAACTTGAAACATGCCGATTCTGCAGTCCCTGGGCAATGCACCTGGGAGTACTTGGCTGGATTCTTCGATGCTGAGGGTAATATCGCACAAAGAGGCGGAGGAGTCTCACTGAAGTTGACGATCTCCCAGAAGTACCCAATGGTGCTACAGTGCATTCGTGAGTTTTTGTCATCCCGATCTGAGGCCATAGATGCATGTCTCAGGATGAGGGCACAACATGAATATGTGCTTGTAGTTGAGAGATTTCCAGAATGCAAGCGTCTACTACAACGCATGTTGGCAGCCGGGCTGTTGTGCAAAGCGAAGCAGGCAGAACTGGCTTCAGGCCTGAGGACGGACAATGCAGCGCAAGTCCACGGTGAGCTCGTGAGATTGACTGGCAACCAGCGGTTTGGCAGAAGCCTGGATACTGCTGATCACGAAAGGGCGCAGGCACTACGTTCACTAAGGCGACAAGCCAGGTGTTTGATGAGGAGAGGAGAGCTGCATGAGTCTAAAACCAAGCTACCCGAAATTGAGGCAGCACAGCGTGAACACGAACTTTGCAATGCGCTGCGAGAGAATGCTCAGTTGCTTCAATACGTGCAAGACATTCAGAATTTGCACGAGATTTCGTGGGTTGGTCCACGAACTCCCAGCATGTGACTTTGAGTACTTGTGCAGAGTTTTGCTGCATGAGAAGGCCGGACGTGTCGATCCAAGCGGCAGGGACAAGGGCAAAGTGTCAGGGTTTGGTCGTCATTGCTTGTCAGATGTGGCGGGGCATGATTTCTCTTTCAAACAGAGTACCATCGAGAATGACACCATAATCTAGAAATTTTCTGTGGTAAATGTGCGAAGGCAAGACAAACTCCGTGTGTGCCCACAGCACTGTGGCCGTCGTAGTTACCGATGCTCAGAACTAGCTTCTTGCATGCAAGGTTTTTTGATTCAGATCTGCGTTTGCGAGCCAGTCTGGCTTCCCACCGGCATCTACTATTCCGAAGCTCTAAACCCAATGCGGTTGAACGTGTTTAGTAGTCAGGAAGCCCTGAACTCCAGCCGAGCACCTTGAACACCCCTCAATGTTCCAATTCGATCACAAGCTGAAGCTGAAACCTCAAAACCAATTTCCGAGAAGCTGCCAGGGATGCGACCTAGAGGAGCTCCGAGACCCTTAAGCTTCGAAAGCTTGTTTATGGGCTAAACCCCAAACCCTAAACCGCTTCAATACAGTGCTGAGGATTAGACTGTCTTGCAATGCTTGTTGGGGGTACTTGATATACCACTTACCCAAGTCCCAGGATGCAGGACTCACAGGGCAACGTCCGCATAAAGCTTAGTAGTAAGCGATCGCACCCAGCAGCTATGGTTTAGTAGCAAGAGTATCGCTGCAACACTAGTAAAGACAAAAAGGGTAGTTAAGCCCCAGTTCCTATAAAACTCCATAGACCTCCTCAAAACCTTCAAAAAACCAACCGTCATCGGCCCCATCCCCGCACAAACCCATGCCACAAAAATACAAAGAAAAAAGCGAGGCAGCGCAGTGCCCCGGTGCTTCTGGGCTCGCCTCCCGTGCGGCCCCACAGAGAGCAGGGGCTGAAGAGTGTCGCTGTCATAGGCTAGCGGGTTATCGGTTGTGGAAATTGGAAATCCCGGGGCTTTGGGGATTGGAGTGTTCGGGACTGAGGCTTGTGGACCTGACAGTGGAATAGTGGCAATCATTATTGCATGTGGCATGGTCAATACTTCAAGCCATAGTACAAAAGACGGGAAAGTAAGCCCTAGCAGTGATGCCAACTGTAGGCTAAGCAGCCGTAATTCAGACACATATGACGATAACTCCACAGAGTAGTTGCCGTTGCGCTACGAGTAGCGGCAACAGCAGCGGCAGCAGGAGGCGATGGTACTGGCACTGGCACTGGCACTAGCGCTCGCACTAGCACTGGCACTCGAACTGCACTAGCACTAGCACTAGCACTAGCACTAGCACTAGCACTAGCACTAGCACTAGCACTAGCACTAGCACTAGCACTAGCACTAGCACGAGCACTAGCACTAGCAC